TGTGTATTTAAATCAAACGATAAGTATAAATAAGACGATGTAAAATTCTAAATAAAGATGATAAATATTTTTACAGACTCTAGTATTATAAATAACAATTTATCAAGAACTAAAAGATGATAAATCCTAAATAAGACGATGCATTCTTGACACAAAGAGAAAGCTTCATTAAGGGGTATAGACAGAGTAAAATTTTGAAAAAATCGATTTTTCAGGCCATATATGAACAATATCAATATTCCCTCACATTTGAAAGACATCCAACAGACATCAGAAAATAATGACGTCTTTTGAATGTCTTTCAGATGTTTTTAAGATTGACGGGTTGTCTGAGATTCGGACATTGCCTAAACTGCTTTAGGCAATCTTAAGGCTGCCTAAATTGTTTTCCGAAGGCAAAGTCTGAAATAAAGTTTCATTTCGAATATTACCTAAAACACTCTTGACAATTTTAACTTTGTCTAGGCAATTTAAGGATTGCCGATCCTTTGGGCTTAGAATCCGCCCAATAACATATATATTATATTATAATTTAATATTTTTATGTTTACTCCATGTCTTTACCTGATTGAAATCTCTTTAGTTTTCCGTCCAAGAAGTAGTATTTTGATACGACAACAGGTTGAATCGGCATTTGTGTCTCAATCGCAACATGGAAAGCACCTTTTTTCTGGGAGGAAATGGAAGCAACGAATTACTTGAATGTCGATGTCCTTCAGGAAATAAAAGCAGTCTCCGCTAGAAAATTTAATCGGAAATATGCTTTAAATAATAATATAAAAATGTTAATCCAAATTACATATTAATATATTTTACATTATAAGTCGCTGTATTCTTCAACAACACAAGGATATATTTTCTGTGTACGCAAAATCACCTTAGACAGACGGATTGATTCCGATGTAACATTGATAACCCGACAGGATTCTTCGGCTTTTCTTCTATCAATAAACGCTGTTCCCCAAAGCCAGCACGCGAGGCCAAATGGTCCCAAGTATAAAATCTCCTTTTTAGAAACAACGCTACAGTTAACCATCGCTAACTACAATTCACCTAAAACTATGTGGCCAATTTTATTATACATATAACATAATGCAAGTCTACTTGATCTTACATTATTTGATCAGTTTTTGAATTTAATATGACAAATTTAATTACCACAAAGATCCAATGAGCTCTGATGATTAATGAGTACAACACAGCCCGAATCTTGGACGATGTTATCTTTTTCACGAAAACGGAAATTGATCCCAATAATCTTTGCTATTTTTACGACGCACCTGGCCGGTACACTGAAAGATTTCATCTCGTATGCGCAAAACTCCACGTGTAAAATTTTATTTTATTTGTAGATCACATGGAAGCTTACAGAGCGTTTTTCCAGCTGCCAATTCGAAATAGCATAAAAGGTATCCATAATCCTGCCGATAGTGCGCTTCCTATTATAAAGAAAATAAACTTTGCTCGATATCGCATGCTCTCGCTCAAGGCGCAAAGCATCACAAAGAGAAATATCAAGACAATGCCGCTCGTCGTGCACATATCACATAATACTCTGAAACCATACAAAATTATCAATTATATCAATTATTTATTCAATATACTATATTTGAAGATCAAAATTAAAATTAAATAATAAATTAAATTATGATTAAGTTAGAATTTATTTCTAAACTGTTCAAAATCCCTATTTGTCAAACCTCACATTTCAATTGTTATTAAAATTTGATGTAACTATTCGTTATATTTTTGATTTCAACTAGAATAATAAAAAGTTTATCGCAATAATTGTTTCTTCCACGTAAGAAAAGAGTAAGATTTAATTATTAACAAATAAAAAGTACTGAGTTTATTTAAAGAGCATGACAGACATTGGAAAATTTACACTGAAATTTATTAACCTATTCTTTATTTATAATTATGGAAAATATGTTTTATTTTTAAAAAAGTTGACTACAAACGAATCATGTTCGTTTTTTGCAATTTTATATATATATATATATACAGGGTGGGCCATTTTAATCAATCCACGCAAATAACACCG